ATGGAAATATTAAAAAAAAAACTCACGTTCGCATAAGTTCGATGATAAAAGAAAGATTTCACTCCATCCACTTCAACGGAAATTTGAAGCAATGGTATTTTTCTATACATCGTTCAGCGTAGAGATGAAAAATTACGCACTGTGTATCCTCTAAGAAAAAAAAATAACGTTGTTTAAACTTTATTTGAATGCGAATTGTGTAAGTTTTGGCTAAAAGAAAAAAACCTACCGTAGCGTTAGGTACAATGAGTACACGAGCGAAAAATGAATAACCTCAATGGGACTTTTAATTTATTTCCTCTTTCATACTGATGTTGAACTCAAACATGAGACAATGGGCAGTTAAGCTATGAGTTTTTAATTTAGAAGAAGTTATTTTTGTTGCTATTATTATTATTATTATAATTATTATTTGTTTTTGTAGTATAGGCTTGTAGTAATCGTATCGAAATATTATTATTTGTTTGTTACATACTCATGAAGTCATCAAATATAATGTATTTTACTTTTGGACGGCAAGACTTAATCAATTAACAATAAGCATATAGTAAGCAATAAGTTGATATCTCAATAACTTGTATCTAATGCAAAACACAGAAAGACTAACGAAGACCTTGAGTTATGTTCTTTCGTCCGTTCCAAGTTGAACAAGTTAATTGGTCGGGTAAACGGAGGATAATATGGATGTTCGAGAGAAATTAAACGGAAACAAAATTCGTTATAAATTTAATAAAACCATCCGATGAAAAATTACATGTATTTTTTCAGGTTTAAATTTGGCGACGAATAACTGTACACATTATAGCACTGTAATTTACATATTATGCGACGGTGAAACATACAAGACGCGTGCATACTTGAACGTGTAAGTGCACGTGAGTCAATAAACTTGTATTTTGTGAATGAAACTTGATCTAGATATATTTTTTTGTTCAACCTAAACTGAAAAAAATTAAACCTAAGATTCATTTTTATTCCGCTGCCATTTTTAGCTATACCTGTTTCACCGATATTACATTATTATCTGATTCGTATTTATATTTTATATAATTCTAATGTTGTAGTTTTTACTATTTAGATGATACATTTATTCGATGTATTTTCAACGTATGACCTCTAAATATATATTTTTATCTATTTAATCAAAATATGTCATAATAATTCTGTCAATCCGAAAATAATTAATTCATATGTAGATGTGTCTGTATGTTCTTATATGTTATCTATAATTTATACGCTAATTATTGCAAACAAATAAATTGGAAACACTTAAGGGGTCGAGCAATGTATCGACAACGATGACGATACGCTCGGGGCGCCTTGACACACATTTACAATACTTAATAATATATTATAAACACGCGGCGCTATCATACTATAAAAGCGCGCGCCGAAATCGGACGTGTCGGTGAATATTGTATAACAATATGGTTACGGTACGTACAGTGAGGTAACCCGACTTATGCTACTGTATAAAAGTAATCAAAATAAACTTTGCGTGACAAATAATTATTATTTATTTTTTGGATTAGATTTTTTGATACGCATTCTAGCACGTTTGATTTTTTGTTTACAGCTCGACGGAAATACAAAGGATAGTATATCGGTATAACTTAGAATTATTATTATTATTACAAGATATGATCCGAAACACAGTGATACATGGAGATAAGCTATATTTACATTGAAAAGAAAAGTTTAACGAAAAATCAAATTCTTCGGGAAAATTTGTTGTTAAACGCTGTTCTAACCAACAATGATCGTTGTTCGACATATTTCAATAATAAAATATTACGACCTTTGGTATTAATTATTATTTCCACGTGGAACTTGGGCGACACGTTTCTAGTTTCTTTGCATAATATGATATTATATCACGACTTTTTTAAAAGTCTAATATGCGATCGCAATGATATCGGTTTTACTATAACTCGTCGGCCATATTAGCCTCAATAAGTGGTTAATAGCGTATTTCCCTCGATTACAGCCACGGCATTCGAAAAACAAAACTACAAAAACGCTCAACAATTTTGAGTCGACATATCACGTCGTGTTCACTCGTTTATGCAAACAAAATTATTATTGTTACTTTAAGTCGTAACCGACGGTCAGAGACAGTGAAGAATGCTTATCGTTTTCCGTAGTACGAGTAGAACAGAAAATACCAGTTGTACAATATATCGAGAGTTTGCTTACGTCTTATGGTAGTATATTATCTTCGGCGGTCGCGAGACGGTCTTACACAAAAATACTCGATGAATTTCCCGGTTCGAAAAAAGGGTACATGATAATAGATTATATCTAATAACGGTCGTCGACTATCGTATTAGACAAGAGGGATATGCCAAAATTCGTATTCGGTTTTAGTACTAGCAGTACGTTGTGGAAGTACACATAAATTACGTGAATTAGTCGTAACGGCGGAGGAAGCTTGAAAAATGGTAACAAAGAGAAATATGTTTTAAACTAGTATGTAATGTTATAATAACGTAATAAGATATGCTTTTTTTGGAGTTTAAAAATATATGCGAACCAAAAGCGATCGGTAAGTGACAACAATTTAATATATTTAAATCGTTGTTGCGCGTCTAAAACTCTCGAATTCGGGTATATTTTTGCTTATGAAAACGAGAAATGCAAATCCTAATGGCATTCGAATTATGTTATTGTTCTGCTATTATGTATTTGTATGTTCCTGAAGCGATTGAGCTTATTACATTTCACAAATGCCTAATAAGACTTATTATTGTACAAGTTGCATCGCGTAGCACACGAGAGCAACAATAAAATAATAACGACAATAGCAATACGTCGAACAAAATAATAATTTTAATTCTATCAATTGGTTGGTGAAAAAAATTTTCAATTTTTATCTCGTAATAAATAATAAATCTGACATACCATTTCAAACTTGTTAAAAACCAGAATTCAATTTTTTTTTTTATATATATAGAATATACCATACTTGATCACGTTAAGTATCTGTACAATAAGTTTTTTCAATCGTTTTACATTGTGTTTTATATAATATTATTTTTTGCAGATTATTAATTTATTAATTTATCTTTTAGTACAATACGTTTCAAGTGATCATCATATTTTTTAACAAATATTCATTTTCAATAATTGCATCTCACAAACATCCGTCAATTAATGTATCCGTACGAAGGCGAGTTTCCAAAATACATTATAAAATATCGTATTTTTTATAACTCTGCTGTAACAATTAGAACGAATTAACTCATAAAATATGTATAGCAATGTAGCAGATATCTCGAAACATATTTTACAAATGCTTTTATTACGTTCAATGTTATTGCATGACCTAGAAATCTTAGCGTTTTTATTATTTATTTATTTTTTTTTTTTTTTCTAGACGGTTGAAAAATATACGAAATGAAATAATATTTATGTAATATATTTTTATAACTAACGAAATGCGGTTAAGTCCGTGTTTGATCTCGAGAACGTTTTACGTTATACGTGTATACGCATATTATATACGTTGTAAATTTATCTTATAAATACTTTGTCTGTGCATTTATACTACATAATACTTACGTTCGTTATCATAAAGTTAAGTTATTAGTCACATGTGTTCGTTTAACACGTACAGTTAAATAAAATAAGACAAATGGAAATCTAGTGATTCCATTGGACGAGAATTTTTTTCATCTGAAAATCCATCAAGTACGTTCCCTTGCCGTATTATCAAATTCAATGCAATGTAAAGCAAGTGCTAAGCCCTATAATGTCCAGGTACGTTTGTAAATACGCCAAGTCAAAACGATTTGCGTGTTAGCCATATGAGAGATAATGTACGCAAGATCACGCGAATCGTACAAAATCCTTTTAACGGCGAAATAGTGATTTTTTTTTTCTTATTTATTTCTGTTGGATTTTACTGACCATCGTGCACCATATAGTAGCATATTATTATAAATCATATGCATGTTAATATAAATATATGTATAGTATATACTGACTGCTCGAAGTGAAACCGTATTCGTACAACGTAATAATATTATGCATACGTTGTTAAGTTATAAAAAAATAAAAGAAAGACATAATCAGAGTCCATTCAAAGTTTTCACTTTCATTCACTCCCCTTCCATGACTTTTTTCCTCCACCTGAAGGGTAGATTTATTAAATATTTACACGAGCGCATAAAACACACACACATACGTTGTTATTAGTATGTGTGTGTGTGATTTTTTTATACCTCATTTTACCCGTATATTATCGCAAAGAGCATACGAGTATAAATGTTTTATTATGCGGTGCACACGAATACGGCGACACAAAGGTCAAGAGAAAGTGCAATGCGATCATTTCCGTTGCGCAACGCCTCTTGGCCGGACGACTCTGCGCGTACATCCAACGTCGCGACTACGGATCGCCCGGGAGACCTGATGGTCTTACCGTTATCGGTATAACAAAGCAATTACGGGCAATTACGGGGCAAGGTTACGATACTACGTATCGTTGTTAAACAACGGGTAAAAGAATACATTAACCATTAACGGATTATTGCGTGAGATGGGTGGGGAACAGCGAATACACAATATGTTTATATTTTTTTTATGTTTTCCCAAGTATTTTATGATATTTTCAATAAAAGATTTACGCGCTGCAGCGATCGACCGATCGAATAATCGGACGAAAGAAACGAACGAAGTAATTGTCAACAACAACAGTTGGATCTGGTGGGTGCACGTATTGAAATCGGTAGAACGACGGAAATGGTAAAAAATATTACGATCTGTAGTACGTCCGACCGATTATACATTATTATAGATGCTCGACGACATTTCACGTCGATCCGATCGGATAATAGATGGTAGCGATAGATCTAAATGAGACGACGATGTTAGTATTATTAATATCTTCACCATCATACGATAAAACGAGTAAGTCGCGACGGCCGAGGTCATACACACGAAACCAACGAAACCGATTAGTGAAGGCTGAAAAAATAATGAAAATACAACAAAACCGATTTACGTTTAAAACTATGTTCAGTCGTTTATTTACATAGCGAAAAAAGGAAATAACAATACAATTATACTAGAAAATAAATGTAAAAAAAAAAAATAGTAATAATTATAACACACACGTTATTATACACGTAGTGTGTACTTATTCTAGTCAAGTCTAGTAAACCTTGTTGACCGTTTATGTTTTTTTTTTTTTTTTTGATTACAATAAGATATTATTATGTGATACGATTATACGCGTAAAAACGTATTATATAAATTACGTCGAGAGTGGCCGCGATGGCAGTGGTGATCGTCGAAAACGAATCACGCCTCACAGTCGGTGACGGGATTAGAATCCGTTCTGGTACTGGTTGATCATCTTCGCGTACTCTTTGGGATAGTTCTTCTGTATGTGCGACATGACGCGTTGGATCTGTTTGACTTCGGCAGGCGAGCACTTAACGCACATTCCTCTCAACACTAGCGGGGCATGAGCTGGAAACCCAAAAGTCAAATTCAGTATACACCGGACGGTATAAAGGTATACATGTGTGTGTGTGTGTGTGTGTGTGTGTGTGTGCGCGAGTGTTTTCAAGAAGACACTACATTTTAGAATTTTAATCATAGCGTTACCACCAATTATGCTAGATATAATCAGTTTTGGGCGTCCATTAGAAAAGTGATTAATCGTCTTTTATTTTTAAAAAAGGATTGTTCGATAAATTTTCTTCGGTGAGCAATTAATATTTCAACTGGTCTATCTGAATGAATACATTTTAACCTAACATGTTTATATGAAATTAAGTTCAGAAGATGAGCACCACTTGAAATGCAGTACGAAATATGAAAATATATACATAATAATATTGTTCGTATTATTTTTGATTGGTTTTTCTTTTTAAAAATACCTTCCTGATCCATGTATGATTTTACTATCAATTTAATGCGAATTTGGATGAACTATATTTGCAAAGTTACAAATTTTAGAGTTAAATATACGTAAAATATTTAGAATCGATTAAAGCACGAGGCAAAACAGGGCTGTGGTTATTTAGAAATTAATTCGAGAATTCAGAGAACACGAAATACGTAGATAAACCAAACAGTTTTGTCGATAACTCATCGTCGAGGGAGATTGTAAACTCCCTCAATTTTAATGACCGGTAAGCCTTCTCGATAGTAAACTCTCTCGGGTCTACTACCAAATTACCAGAATACCTGAAATGCAGGGGTGGATCTAGCATATTTTTTACCCGGAGCAAAGTATTAAATCAACACCCTTCCATAATTCAGCCCCCTCTATTATTCCAATGTTAAATTTATTTACTAGTTGATCTCTAAAAAAAAAAAAAAATTTGTAGTCTCGAGTAATGTTAAAAATATTTGATATACTATTAAAATATTAGAATAAGCATCTTGTAGAATAATTGAATAAAAAATGTTTTCCCTTGGGATATTTTTTATAACATTGCAGTCAGCGATTGAAAATAAATTAAGATAATGGTAAGTAATATTTTACATTAATTTAAATCTAAGAGTATTATTTTCTTGTATGAATAAAAATACAAATTATATACTTTACTTCATATTTAAAAAAAAAAAAAAAATTTTACTTAATTGATAAAATTATTGATTTTTAATATATATTTTTTTTGGTTTTGGGGAGTAACCCCCCCTCGTGGATCCGCCACTAGTCCCTTCCCCCACACGTACGCACACACACACGCGCATACTGACCTTTGATTTTTCTGCCGATGGGGTCACACGGTCCCTCACCAGTCGCGCACTTGAGCTGTCTCTGCACAAACCTCCTGTCGTTGAGCGCTTTTTCCAGCACGTCCTCGCTAACGTTCGGAATGGGCGCGTCCCGCTTCGTCATGCTCACCGGGGCCGTCACGTCCGATCCGACCACGTGCGCTCTCCTGCCGGCTGCCGCGTCTTCCGGGACGGCCAGAGCGGCGGCGCACGCGCACACGGTGATCACGAACATCTGCAATGCAAACGAGAAACCGGTAAGGATCATCCGCCGTTCGTGTATTGTTTGTTGATTTTGTTCTTTCTACGACTATTCGCATTTGTTTAATACGTATCGACATAATGCACCAGCACCAGCAAAACGATAACGATTTATCCCCACACTCTCGATCCCGTCGCCGTTTGTACGACTGCTCGAAAACCACGTGTTGACGACAGTACGCTCCGGTGTTCTGGTAACACGCCGAGTAGCGTAGCAGACCGTTTCGTCCGAGACGACTCGAAAACAAGGCATTGCCCACGTGTTTTCCGAACGATGAGACACGCGCAGGTAGATAGATACAAACGAATCCGGTAGTTCGATTTGTGTTAAAAATACGAACCAGTAACGGCATTAATGTGAAAATTGATTCGGTTATTCCCGATAAAAATTGTTAATATTGTATAATGTTTTGGAAAATTTGAAATTTAATTTAAAAAGTTTGAAATACAAAAGCAAAAGAGGCTAAAAGTTATGACCATATTCGTTAATCATTGACGAAAAACATTTAAAAAAAAAAATATCGCTGAAAAACATGTCATACAATGTATAGTTGTTCTGGCAGCAAATTATCAATTTATTTTGTTAATAATAACGCATTAGTTATTATAATATTATACACGTTTGTGAGTTCAACGACTTAAACAGTACGTAGCCAATATGTCTTTCACTTTTTTTAATGCAAATGGTCAACATCCGATAACATACATGGATACACATGTTGTTTTTTTTTTTTGCAAAAGTGTTCTCACCGCAACTACTAACCGAACAAGCCATATTATTTGAAGTCGAAGCAATGAAAAATCAAATAATAATAAAATTTACAATTTCTTGTTCGCGGTCTCTCGTGTTTCGAAAAATAACTATTACTTCCGCTATACATTACACTCACAAGCAAAGCAGTTCATAAACACCGAACAGGAAAAATTATTATACAAACCGTTTAAATTTTAATCGTTTGCGACCATTCACTCCAGTTCACAAATACATTTAATATAATTAGTGCAAAACTGTGTATAATGATAAACTCATCATCGCCCATCGATCGTATTTATCTTTATTTTTTTCAGCTCATTCTCCTAACAGCGAATTTTCGAGTGCGTTCGAGTAAAAACGTCACACACACGCTCATAAATATATACACGTACAAATCGTATAGTAATAGCGTCCATGTTATTTCACGGCCGTAGATCATACACCTTTACGTATATAACTACCATAATAACTTTATTTTAGAGTAGCGGTGTGGTGTCGGTGGCGTGATAAACATCCCTACGGGAACGGAAGTCAATTTATGCGTCACGAAAATATTCGGTTGAAAAAAAATAATAAATAAATACCTATGTACTGCGAATCCATATATATATATATATTGACGAGTATATTAAAATTTTCTTCTGACAGCCAAGAGGATGAAATCAGTCGTGTTTAGTGACGCTACCCGTAAAATTGACGAGACCTTTAACCACTTACTCCGTCGGGGAAAAGGTCGGTAATACAATTTTTCCGCTTATAATTCCACCCATCGATACAGCACGAATAAAGTGCAAATCAAGGGAAAAGTTTCGTACTCCCCTCACCGTTATATTTGTCGAAATTCAATTTAAAAGTGAACGAAAGTGCCTTCGCACCCAATCCAGGACAAGTTTTTTTATTACCTCGAAAATTCCGTGTCAATAATAATAAAAGGATGGATGCATGTGCACATTTTTATGCGCGAGAGACCGTGCCAAGGCTCACGCATTAACAGAAATCGTCAAGATGGAGTTTAAAAGAAATCATACGTATACAGCGCAGAGTTGTTTTCTCGAAATAAATTATCTTATTCTTGCCGATAAATATTTATGCGATCTCACGATTGATTCGAATTTGAATACGTAACGACTGGCAATAGTTTCGGTGGAGATTTTCATTCCGTATAAAATACACACACACACACACACACACATATATATATATATATTGTATACACATAAAATAAAAAAAACAACAATGTATATGACATTGTTACGACCACGTTATTAATAAAGTATTCATTATAAATACGTTTACAATATTTCAATAACGTGTAATATAACATCGGTTTATAATTTATTATGATCATCATCACTATGTCGACAATGAATAAAACATGACGGAGCAAAATATATTTGGTTATCTTTAATTTTCGAATTATCATAGCAACAGTATACGTAAGTATTCGTAAAACAAATCAGAACAAGCGTGATCGCTTTAAGGGGACCGATAACCGTATAGACTTTAGACGCACGGTAAACAAAATTTTTGCAACAAATTCGTTTGCATTAATTTGTCGGGCGATGCATTATTTATAGTGTTAAAAGTTTTAAAGTACAGATGAACAGCGCTTGTTCTTAAAGATCGCAGTATAATATTATTATATGGCAATCGTGTTCGGTCCTCGTCAACTAAGCGTATTATACTTATACATCAATATCATAATGCACACGATACAGATGACGTAAAAAACAAAATTATTTTTATATTCAACACGACCATAGATCTGTTTTAAACGCAAGAACTTTGTAAAAAAAATAAATATTAAAAAGAACACCCATCACGAGTTTCTTACGATCACGCTCATTTCCTGTTTAGTGTTGCAAATAAACAACACGAATTAGCAAGAATATAAATTGATAATGAAACGACCATCGGATCACCTTATCAATGTATAAGTTTTCATAACACGTTCTTCGCATTTTAACATGATATTCCAGTTATTTATGTAATGATTTTGATTAAAAACGATGACAGAGTTCTTTATAAATAATTTTTTTAGTAATTTTCATCCTTTATGCAACAAGTCATATAGTGCCTCCTGATTAATTTTTTTACAAAACAATATCTGTTTTAAAAAGAATCACGAAACCGAAACAATTCCACGAACAGATCCACGAATCTGTTTTTAATGTGTTATACTGTAATATGACGTTTCTGTCTCCAACTATTAACATTACGTTATCACGTCGACTGCATTTCAACTTGGCTAAAGAAAATATGTGAATTGCCTGAAGTTGTATTAACTACCTAGAGTTGACTTAGTAGACTACTAATTCTTACATAATTTTTGAGTAATCCTGTTATATCGTCATTTTTTCATGCTACACAATACGAATCCTTTTTAATGTACACTAACTTGTACATTTAGTCGACAGATGTCTTATTAGAGTATCCGATCAACGATGTTGTTCCTTTTTGAACGCAAAACGTAAACCTCGAATATACTTTTTACATCAAAATGTTATGAAGTGCAACTATTGTATTTTCCGTTGGTATAAAACACGTTCAGCAATATTATTCTTGTTAAAACCTATTATTTATTATTTCACAGATTTGCGTACTCAAAAAGAGACGCTTCATAAATTATAAGCTACAAAAAGGTTCTCGAAATTGCTGATGACATTAACATCAGCAGGTGAGTTGTCTCAAATCACATTTAGTTTCAAATTAATCTAAATTCAGGAAGTGTATACGATATCAGATATTATATCGAAGAAAAAAACTTGATTTATCACTTTATAATATATAACAATAATTAATGTTATGTAAACGATTGTATAAATTATCGGTGTAAATACTCGTCGGTTTACACCACCAAAAACATAGTCGATCGAATACATAATATTTAGAATGTGTCCATAACATATATATATATATATATATATATGCTTTCAGAACAATAATAAAGGCAAGTGCACCGTTGATTTTTCCAAGTCAAAAAACTACAATATTTGTATTTTTTTCAAAAACAGGAACCTCTAAAGGTATAGAGAAACTCCATGATAACCGTCAACTGTAAGTAAGCCGTACATCCGAACCCGAAAATTCATCGAGTTATCATCCGTCGTTATCGTTTAGTATTATTATTATTATACAGTATTTCCACCGCGATGAGCTCATTGTAAAACGCGTACTCATAATTCGCCATCAGATTGCGCGCACGAGAACGGTGAACATTTTAATTGAAAATTCGCACTCAAAACTATTGTATACGTGCAACTGCGTTGGTCTATGAATACCTCAACATACACCGCATATCATTATAATAATATTTACACGTAAGTGCTTCATAATATTGTTCTAATTTAATAAATATTAATATTCATAGTTATGATTAAGCTCGACGAAAGTTTTCAACAGCAAATTTTGGCGATCGATGTTTCGTATTCACAGAATTAATAAATGTCGAGAACTATACCTACTCGAAATCGTACCTGCATACATTTATCTCGACGATATAATAATAATATAACCGCCGAGAATATTATTACTCAATTTAAAAACGGAAAAATAATTATTGCATTTTATAAAATTTCTTACAGCATTATGGTGATGCGATTTTTAAAAATATTTTTATTTTTTAGTAAACTTTATTTGAATAATCCGATTTCCAGATAATTTTAATTGACGATAAGAGTATACACGATCGATGAAAATAAAAACCGTGTTAATTTTTTACAATCATTCCCCCTATCCCACACAACCAAATCCAATGCGTAGTAATTTCCGATTATCGCAATGTCAATATGGGAAGCATATTTTGGTCTTTGATAAATCGAACGAATTATACTACAGCTCTACGAACTGTTTGGAGCCGGACGGTTCAAATTAATAAGCCGATTATCGTTTTGTTTCTAACCGAGTTGTGTTTTTTTGCTGTACGGTTGAAAGTAGCATATTTTCGTTACGAAAACAACGCGCTGGGTATTCTTTTTCTCGTTCGAAATCAAAATATTGTAACAGAATTAAAAATTAAACAATTAAATTGTTCGTATAATACGCGTCTATACGTTTCGCCGAAATTGTGTGATTGCCGTTTTTATGAACTCGGAAATTTTTTTATCGATATCGCGAAATCAGCAATTTATACGAATTCAGAGTAACACACAAAGCGTTACGTATTTTATGGTCTCGTCGCTTGCGCGTCTAAATTAGTTTTCAAACAAGATGCGTTATACTACGTCGTCGCACATTATATTGTATACTAAATATTATGCAGCAATTATATATTATATTGCAATAACGTATAGCACGATACTTTATTGCGCACCGTATAATATTGTCACATTTGCGAATTTACATAATTATTATTATTTTTACTATTATTATTATTACTATACTGCGATATATGCACAAGATTATAATAACTACAAGACTATTACTTCAAAGCCCCTACGTGCTGTCTCGGAAAGTTCGGAAAACTCGAGTTATACGAGTGCGCACATTCAAATTGCTTAACGATTTACCGGTGTGAAATATTACGTAACATACCCATAAGCGCATCGTCGCGCAGTCGTTAGAGAATCGGATGAATATAGTTTGACGAATGTACCGGTACGCTCAAGGGTGCGATTAAAACCTAATAAAGAAACACGTTAACGGCAGACGAGGTTATGTTTTATTGTTTATGTCGTATATAATGTTTCGAACCATCTTCAGGGAAACGAGTCGAACGCCCATCATAATATAAATATCGTAATATCATTAGCTGCGCGTTGGTATCAATATTACGTGTTTTGGTTTGGATTTAAAAAAACTGTTACTGCCGACGGGATGAAAACAAAAATTTCGATAACTCTTTGAGCCCACTCGTTTGATGAACAGTTATTTCGATGCGTTTTTTTTGTTTTGCATGAGCTCGCGAGTACGCAGATATGTGTGCATTTTTCGATCTCCAGGTATTTAGAACCTCAATATACTCAGAGCATAATATCAATCAGATTTCATCGTGCTTGTGGAAATTATTTTTAAAAACAATATCGTTAGTTTCGATAGATTTCCATAGCCCGAAACAGTAACGCATGGGATTTTCTTCTCCGTACTTTCCTTTCATTTAAAGTGTAACATTTTTTTCTCAACACATTCACGTATCATACGAAACCACTGAGATTATCTTATGGAACACGCTTTATCAAGCTCAAGACTTCAGTAAACGAAAAGTAACAAAACATGTTTGATTAGTTAATGCGCATTGACTAAAAAAGGAGTCGCGGCCCAGAACTATGAGTACTACAGATTCATGGTATGGCTAAATTTGTCTCGTGATATTAAAATAACCAAGCAATCCATCACGTGTGCACGTACCCCGATATTTCAGAAGAATTTTCCAAACGGCCTTGTTTTCTTCCCGACTATAACGATGTGTCAATAACGCTGAAATCCGTTCGGTTACACCACCGCACAAACTTTAATAATAATACAAAGGGCGAAATGTACAAAAGGTGTTCCTCTCCAAAACTCGAGAACTCGGCGAACGGAAGAATCACACCCGATCATCACCACTCGACGCCGCAGACATTTTTCACGCTAATTATTATACACTCATCGACCGTCGAGCGAATGGAGGTCGTTGTCGTCGTAGCGGAAGAATATTAATGATAAAACGACTCCCATGACTTTGATCGCGGTTTTCTATTATCATATATCGAATAATTTTAACTCATATAAAAATATATATATATATAAAGGTAGCAAAAATTAGCAACACTTGAAAACGAATTATTTGATGCGAATTTATTGCATTCAGAAAAGTGATTTAGGAAATCGAAAAGTATAAAATAAAAAACACCGGTGTGACTTGCTGTGTGTGCTTAAGCCGGTTTCAAAGAGTAGACTTTACGTAAGGCTAAGTCTTCTTCGACACTCACGAATATAAATTCAATAAATAGGTAAAGAAGCCATGGAAATTATGAGCGTGCTAGAAAATCGTGATAAATATAAATCAAATCGGAATTGTGAAACAGAAAAAAGCCAACAACAGTTTATCGTTCAATTACAGTAGTATTGTTTTCGTGAGTACCCAAAAAATCTGTAGATGCTTGACACTTTGACCGCAGTCATCATAACATTTTTGAAAAAAAGTGTTATGTATTTCTATATATCGACATAAACTTGTAAATCGTATAATAAGCTTGTACGAGCACTGAAAATAAATAACGATTTTCTAAAATATCTTTCCTCGCATGAATAAAATAGAATTTATTATTTTCAAATCCCCTGATACGATGAGTATTATTAATTTATTTTTAGAAAGCATGGTGTTCAGAGAAATAAAATTCATTTTCTATTAAATCCCGATGGTCTTGAATATAATCTTTAGTACTAGTCATAAGAATAATAATAATATAAGTTCACAATTTTACTTACATTCATGGCGATACTAGACGACGATGATCGAAACATATTTGTACAACGCGTATGTGTGTGTGTGTGTGTTTAACTGTGCTGATACTGTATCCGTATTATAGTGTATCGGTATCGATGATCGTAACACTGGTGAAGGTTTACGGCCCGACCGTACTCTTATAGACTTTCCCTACTCTCGGGATGCAAGAACTGCACTCTCGCACGCGCAACCACTGCAATGAATCATATCTGTTGGATTTCTCTTTCTCACTCACTCTTTCTCTTTCTCTGGCTCACACACTCTCTCTCTCTCTATCTTTTTTTTAATATTTATTGTTGACGATAATTCACGCGAACGGACGGTGACGTCGGATTTCGATCGAGCGGTGTGCGCAGGGCGAGAGAGAACGCGCGTGTCGAGATAGCATTCAAGCACGTCGTAGCCGTGGTCGTCGCGAGATAGTTGTCCGACTAACGTGCACCGGTAGAATTTCGAAGAAATACCGACGGGGAAAAAATAATTCAAATAACCTCCGCAACAGATAAGGCACGTAAAACAGTTGAAACGGCAAGGCTCCAGTTCTGTTAAACGGTATAGAGATTTTCCGTCGGTATCGCGTACGATGTTGACGAGGCGCCGCACGGTTATCCAACAGGGTTCTCCCTTCGCAAACCATAACCGTGTTGCATCACACATATTACCGGACGGAATGGACCGTTCTCTGCGGACGTCGCAAAGTATCGCTGGTCCATCGTTACATAAGCTGAGGAAAACGAACGCACGTTAACCGCGTACGTAAGTGCAAACGCGTACGCGTAAGTTACGTGCGCAACAGGAATAGACTGCTCGGCGAACGCGACTTAAAACGCGATCTATTACGTTTTCATACGAGCTGTGTTTTATGTAATATCGCATATCGAGAGAGCCGTACTGCGTTTAACCGCTGCGGTCGAGTAACGGACGAAACGGCGGTCGAGGGATTTGAACGATGGGCTATCGACGATTACGCGTTATGCTGCTAGCTGCTCCTTTATTCGACAACTGTGAGAGGGTCGACGGCAGGCACTTCGCCGCCAATTATCAACTATGAGACGTAACGAGTTGCTTATTAAAAATGATTTCTCTTCTCCTCTCGTCATCAACATTTTATCTCGTTCGTTTCGTGTTTGAAGATTGTCGCACTCGAAAGTTCAATACGAAGTTATGATTAAAACAACGTCGTGTGCGTATCGTTATTACGAAAGGAAACTTAAAAGTTCATCACACTAGATAGTGTAAGTTTGCTAAGAACAACGTCGTTGGATATGAATAACTCTCTAAGTCACACGGATAACGTTTCACTAAATAAAATAAAAGGAATTAATAAATAAATAAAATCGACAATTTTTTTTTTTAATGAAATTATTGTTAATCAATTATTTTAAAATGCTTAAATTTGGACTCCTTGGCTTCTATAACCTACTACTTTTACTGAAATTCGGGAAATACCGTATAATATAACAGAGATAACGAAATTTTGTTATACCTAAGATATTAGATGTCATATAAACAGAGGTGATAAAAGCAATATAACACAGAGTATTTATTAACTTTTTTTAAGATATCATATAGGCATGTGGTATACACCAATACCAGTATGAAAATTGGTATCAACGTTTAAAACTTCGTAAGCAACTGTGTAGTTAAAAATCAGGTAAAATCGTACGGAATCGTGTAGCTTTAAAAGGTATCGCCGATAAGGGAGTTTCCCGAGTGCGTCTCGTTTTTAGTTTTTACCTTTTTCATGACCCGAGTGCATCCGCGATTTTATCTGCAGTATTTATCGTATAGCCCGAGTGCGTCCGAGGTTCTATCAACTACTTTAACAAGAGCCCGATTGCGTAAGTTTCCGTTACAACGAACTCAAAAGGACCAACTTTTTTTTTTTTTGTTATAACGGAAATTTCATTAAGATGATGTTGAAAAATATTTTGTTAAAGGCTATAATGCCTTTCATGTCTATAATACCTGAACATGAAAAACTTCAAGATTTTATGGATTATTTGACAGAAAATATATATATATATATTGTTTCTGAAGCAAAATTTCTAATTTCTATGTGGGCAGAAATGACAAGTAGTTCTGAAAGGACAACAAACGCTTGTAAGAGTTTCCATTCCAAGTATAATTCGTTTTTTTTATCAACATCCAAATATTTATACATTTTTAGAAATATTAAAAAAAAAATTCAAATTGACACTAAAATTGCAATCAAAGTGGCCACAAAAACAATTATGAAGAAAAAAGGAACAACTAATAACAAAATTGCATTCACCGAAGAAAATATTAATACATTTAAGAATAACCAAATTTCAAGGATAGAATTTATAAAAAATGGCTTTTAAACATCAACCACAACATAAAAAATAACAATGTAATTTATATGATCATAAAAAATTACTAAGACACTCACCTACAATTATTCGGTATAAGTCAAATAAACGAGATAATATAATTTGAATATAAATATTGAATAAATAAAAAAAACATTTTTGAGGTGTAAACCAGTTCAACTCCTCGTGGTACACTCTGGGTAAATTAACTAGGACGCATTCGGGCTATATCAAAAAAAAAAATTATTTTTAGGACGACTCGGGCGATATCTTTTTGTAGACATCCTTACAAGATTAAAAAAAAAAAGTACTTTTTGGGACGCACTTGGGATATCCCCACTGATAACAAATGTACGCAATCGTATTTTACCCAGAACCGGAACCGAATTAAATCGGTTCTAGAACCATTTAATCTTAAAAATCTGGGAACCATAACTTTAACCGGAACCTTTATTTCAAAAAATGAAAAATAGTAATCTTAACCGTTACCATAATTAGAAAATGATTAATTTCGATTAACAGTAAATTTTTTAGTCGATTCAGAAAAATAAAAGTAAATTTTATCAATAACATTTTAATTCTCCTGTATTGAAAATTGTAATTTTTAATGCATAGATATATGTATATAAATAGAAATAAATGAATGCATAGTCTAGAATATTGTTATGTGTATAATGTAAAAATGGTTTCGAATTAAAAATTCATCATCAGGTACATACATACAAAGTTAATAAAATCGTAACAATATAAATATATAAATAATTTTTTTTTTTTTTTTACTTTAGTGAACCAAATCACATACCAGTTATTAATACGTACAAACAAACTATTTGAAAAAAAAAATAATAACGATTGTGATGTATGTTTATTATCTACAAATTATACAATAAACTTTTTAATACATTTTATTTAAAAAAAATTACATATCTAAATTTAAAATCAACGCATCAATATAACGTAAAAAAATAAATCGATTACATATATATTTTGTTGTTGATTTATTAATATATATATATATATATATATATATATATATATATATATATATATATTTATATCATTAAGTATATTATATATTAAGTATAATAAATAATAATATAAATAAAAATGTGTACGACATGTTTGTATTTTAGACTTTGTAAGTAATTGAATGAAGATATGCTTTTTTCTCACTGAATACTGTAGATTGATATAAACGCTACGATATACTGATCCACAACAAGTAGTGTTTTCAAAGTATGCATAACAAATATATTTACACCTAACATACAATATAAAATTAATATACATTTTTCTTTTGTGGATACATTTTATTTTTATGTTTTAAAATAGAGTATTAACTAGTCACTATATTCAAGCACTTTTAGCTCAGTAAAATCCCAAAAAAGTTGATGGGAACATCATTGCCTATAACAGTACCAACTTTTTTTTCTTATAACCAAAAATTACCAGTATTTTTCAAATCCTTATTTCTTATTAAAAACCCGAAACCGGAATCGAAACCCTCAAAAGAATTAAATTAATAACCTAAATAAAAACTAAAACCGAAAAAAACCAATTTATTCTAGTCCCTGCCGCTAATATGAATATATCGGGGATGTAAGTTTAACTGCAATGTATTTAGCAGCGTATTTAATGCATTAAAATAGTCATGGTTCAATCAAAATTAAAGTGACAGCTGAAGTGTACGTCAAAATATCGATTAAATTGTATTATAACGATGGAAGAAAAAATAATTTTAAAGTAAATATTTACCAACTTCCGACAAAAGTATTTTTAGTGTAAAAACGTGATATAAGAAAAAATTAACTAAAAAAAGCAATCCTGGACTCGGAGATCTAAATGCACTACACTGGAAACCGGTCAGGTTAGAAAAAGTCATAATGTAAATATTAGAGCAATAATAAACTGATAAAATAAGCTAATACTGCGGAAGGTCACGAATTCTTTATTTAAATTGAATTTGAAGTCTCACATCAATTCATCACACACTCTATACATAATACGGCAAATGGGCAAATGCGCTCTTCGTATAACCAAACATCTGCATTTTGAGACTACAACTATTTTTCAGAGTTAATTGAACTGTTACATAAGAACTGAGATACGAAGAGAATGTGAACCAGATAAGAATAGTGCTATGACTTACTGTGAGTATTATTATTTAGTTTTAGTTTTTTTATGGTCTTAATATAGCCATGGTTGGCTATTACTCACGAGATTAAAACGAACAGTATTCAATACATATGATATGGATAATTATAATAATATATACGTGCTTTACTTTTAAATATTGTGGAATCGAAGAAAATAACTTATCTTTGTTCGTAGACTATTCTCATATTTCTGATGGTGACCTATAAAGATAATTTCGGTCATAGACAAAAAATGAATTTGATGTTTTATGAGCATGGTGAACGAAAATAACTATGCAAGCAGGGACTAGAATCTTGATGAATTTTACGGTCTGGTTCTTAGAAAAAAAAAATCGGTTCTGATTTCGATGTCGGTTCTTAAAATCTAAAATTTTGGTTTCGGTTTTAAACTAACAAAAATGTAGCTTATATAGGCTTCGGTTTCTTTTCGGTTCTTAAAAAATTAAAATTCATTTCAAATGTTGGTATTATACTTTTGTAAGAAAAATTTTGTTCTGTTTAGATTCTTCAAAAAGTATAATAAAACATTAGTACTATTAACTGTCGTCAATTATGGCGGTCAATACCAAATTATAACCAGCTATCCTACCAATAGCATAGGATTAAGGAAAAAACTAAGTAAGGATAAGAAATTACACATCAC